ATTTGCAAAAGGGGAAAGGGAAATAGCACTACATATACCACAAAGTGGTTATAATGATTCAGTGGATTATTTCCACAAGGCACTTGGCATAGGCCCTGGCACTTAATAAATGCTTATTAAGCGCTTCTATTGTTGAGACTAGAACTTTGGCCTCCTTTTCTCTGCACATCTTACGGGCATATAGAACAGAGAATACTACATAAATGTCCTGGCTAGTGTTTCAAGAGAACAAGAGGAGACTGGGACAAATGCTAAGATAAATAAAGAAAAGAAAAAAGGGTGATATTAAACATTTTAGTTTAAGGAAGAAATAAAACTATAGTGCTAAGTTAAGGAGAGGTTTTACAGATTTATCAATTTGCCTACTCTTGACTACAGTGTCTATAGACAGAATATCGTTTTACTTTGCCTTCAGACTGTAGAAATAGAAAGGAAAATATTATCAAATGCAAGCGGATTGTTGTCAAGTAAAGCCAATAAAAATGATTACTCTAGCAATATAAAAGTGTTCCATTAAAGCCTAATAATCAACAGTATTTAAGCAGCATACCGCCAAGTAGTTGAAAGGGTGCCCATGTTTTATAAACAGCATTTATAGGCTTTCACAACTCAAAATTTCAGTCTTTATGAGTTGTGTATAAATTTGGGAAGTGGTTGATACCACATTTAAAATCTAAACCGCTTCTGTGGCACCCTGCCAAACAAGTGTAAATATCTCGGGAAAATCCCATGTCTAACACACAACTCGGTGGAACTTGATCTGTCTCTTTGAGAGCTAAAGGGTGGGGCGGGACTCAGGAAATTGTTTCTTTTTCTTACATAGAATTGTTTTAGAAATTATCAGTTTGTCCCTATTCTTTTTGCTAATAATTTTGTAACTGATACATAATGCAAAACTTTTTTAATAGCATAGGTCAATGAATCATAGTCAATGAAGAACCATCTCATCCATATTTTGTCCTAAAGTACATTACATATAGAAAAGTGTCCCATACCTACTTACATCATTTAATTGAGATTATTAATGTGATAATTTTAAATTCCACTCTCTGGATTTCTCATACTTTCCCTAACAATGAGAATTCCCTGATGTCAAAGGAATGTATCTTATTTATCTTTGTGACCCAGTACCTACCACATCAGAAAATTATTGTAAATGGAAGTAAATAAAAGAAGTAAGAATAAAAGGAAGAGAGGGAAAGAGAAAGGAAAGGTAAAAGAGAAAAAGGAATGAGGTATGAAGAAATGGTAAATTAATTTTTCTACTCACACAGAGAATGATAATGTATATTTCCCTATTCCCTGATCATTATCGATGATCTCAATTTAAAAGATGCAGTGAGACTATAAAAATAAATTGTAGGACAAGAGAAACAGCTTAGTGGGTAAAGGTGCCTTCCACTAAGGCCGATAACCTGAGTGATACTGTATCACTGAATAAAGCTGCGGTAGAATTTTTGAAATCCTCTCTAGGAAAAATCCACAAGTTACACTGGTGGTGAGGTGACAGCATTGAAAGCCAATGTGCCTGATGCTTCCTGTTCAGCAGGAAACTCCAAGGACATTGTCCCTGAAGAGGACTTGAAATTCTACCCTCATTGATGAAGGAGGGAATATCCTACAGGTCTTTATCATGCTACTTCCCCTAAAGCAATCGTCTTCCTATAAAGGAACCCTGTGAAGGAATCGGAAACTCACTGAAATTTTTTGGTCATAGGCACATTGAGAGCTGCATAGGTAGAAAAAAAGAAGATATATTTAATAAACTAAGAAAACAAGAAAAGAAATTAACACCAATGAAAATGGCATCCACCAATGATGAGAAAACCATGATTAGCAAAAGGCATAAATAAATAATATAATTTATAATTTCTGTATGTAGTGCAGCAATGGTCAGATTTAATCTGAATTAATATCCTTTGACTTGCATTGCTCCCACGCCTACTATATCTTCTTAGTTTGTCTCTCTGTTCCCTTTAGGCAGTCATAGAATCTTAAATAAACCCATGGTAGCTTTCCATTTCCAAACAGTGCCGTCAGACTGAGAATGATGCTATTTTAACCGGGGTCAGAATGAAACGCAGTGAGAGATGAAGGCGCTGTGCAGCAGAGCCTCTGGGAATTGGGGCTGATATGATGTGATAGATCGTCTTGTCACCTTTAGTTTCTGTGATTCCATGAGACTCACCATGACTGAGTAATTTGTCCTTGTCTCACTCAGCAAACAAGACTGACAAATAACTCAGTCCAGAAAGAATCTATAAGTATCATTTCAGAATCTAACCTAGAAGAGAGTTTCAATCTAAAGCTAAGAAACAACATATCTGAAATTACATGTCTTTGTGTCTGTACTCAAAATTTTAGAAATACCAGTTTAAAAGTATGACCTGATGAATGCCAAATATAGTATACACTGCCTCGATGATTACCTTGAAGTTGAATGTACCTACACCTCCAGTCACCTTTCAATGCATATTATACAATCTCATTACTTGAGATACTTCTTATCTAGAGTTTAAAAAGTTAAGAGAGAATGCAATCTATATTTACTTTCAGGGACCAGACACATTTTTGTTCCTTTGTTTTTGGTTGTTTTGTGTTGTTTTATTGTGTTTTGTTTTGTTTGGTCTTTTTGAGACAATGTCTCCCTGTAGCCCCAGCTGGCCTGGAACTCACTATGTAAACCAGGATGTTGTCAGTCTCACAGAGATGCACCTGTTTACCTCCGCCTCCCAAGTCCTGGGATTAAAGGCATGCACCACCATGCCCAGTCAGACACATTTTTAATCAAATAAATGATTAGAGTTTGCAAAGTTGCAAGAGGGTTATATGGATAAGTGAAAAACTTATTACCTATAAATTAAATCTAGTCGATTTTCATTTTCCAGCATTTTACATTTATTAATACTTACCACATAAAATTTTATAATCCATCACTTAGATCACAACTTAAAACTAACAAAATGGAATTCCTTTCCCATCCTTAAGAGAAAGAGAAAGACTTCATTGATTCAATAAGTCTTTCTAACCATCCAAATAATATGTATCTAAAATTGCATCTTGTCTTTGTCTCTATACTCAAAATTTTAGAAATCTCAGTTTAAAAAATATGATCTGAGCAACTCTAAATATGTTAAATATGTTATATACTTAAAAGAATTATTGACTTCCAAGAGTTATGGAATTTAATATATATAGTGCAACTTGCTTTGCTGAATAAGTCAAAACCAATACTAGATTCATTTAACTTACTATCAACTGTGAAAAATTTCCCATCTTCTTAACCTTAAGATCAGATCTCTGGGGCAAGTATGTAGTTACAATACAGATTTAAAATGGTAGAAAGAAGCCTGTGATTCATTTGGAGCTTGAGTGTAAGAGTATGCTGATTAATTATGGTAATTATTATAATCAAGATTCTTACAGAATGTGGACAGGGGGGATGAAAAATATCTGCCAGATGTCTGAACATTTCTAAGATCATTCTCATGATCTTTCCCAAGATTATGGACCAGCCCAAATTTAGACCCTTGGTTTAATGGGTTAAATCCACAAATTTTTAAAGAGGAAAACCCACTCTGCTAAATTGGCACAGAAACAACTGTATCTCTAAAGATCTTTGGAGTTGGAAGGTACAGTGGTTACTGTTGATGAAAGCTTGATGAGAGTCTGTCTCCTGGGAGATAATAAAGAACACTTCCGAGTATGCTTGTGAGGACTATCCAAGAGAGGATTAGCCTGAAGGATCTGTCACAATCAATGTTTTTTTCCACTGATTGATTAAAATAAGAGTAGACTTCAGCAGGTGGTTGAGTTACGGAAGGTGAAGTCTCGTTGAAGGAAAAGTGTATCCCTTCCAGTGCTACTTAGTGGGACCATTTCTCTCTCTCTCTCTCTCTCTCTCTCTCTCTCTCTCTCTCTCTCCTGGCTACCATAAGGTGAGCTCCCATGATATTCAACCTCACCACAGGCCCATGGCAATGGAGCAAGCCCATAATAGACTAGAACATCAGAACGTTTGGAGCTATAAAACAAAGTAAGTTTTTCTTCCCTTAAATTGTTTTTCTTGTGCAATTGACAGTGATAAAGATAACAAAGAAGGTATTCTTGGATCATACTAGACTATAGGAAGACCTTGGATACTGTCGCTCTTCACCATTGAAGGCAGGGGAGTTCATTAGATCTGTCTTGCTCTTGGGACATTCTTTTCCAATTCTACACAGGCTCTTTGGGCAATAATAATGAAAACATTCCAACTTCCAAGTCATAGCTCCAAACTGAAGAGAATCCAGTACCTTTTCATATTCATAGTCAACTCTCAAATATTTATGCATCTGAGAGAAAGTAGTGTCTTTCAATAATAAAATGATAATTTATGTGTTTGGAGTTTTTTTCTTTTGTTTTTGCCAACGTCAACAGACTTATTTTCCAATTATGTCTGACCCTAATTAGTGTCACAATTAACACTCTGCAGAGCATACACACACAGACATTCTACTCACCAATTGGTGGTGGGTGGAATGCCCAGAAACATATTGTGGGATCCGGAAAGGAGGTCTGAGATTATATTTTTGCTGCTGGCAATTCACACACTAGATAATCAATAAAGAGTTGGCTGTATTCGTACCAGGCCCTTCCGAGAGCCAAATAATCGCATTAGCTAATTCCTATCCATGAAATAAACGTAGTCTCAGTAATTACTTATTAAACTAAGTCTATCAGCATACAGAATATTTTCTTTTAGCTGGAATTATCAAGCTTGACTGTTTATATCAACCTAATTAAGATAATTGTCAAACTCTCCAGCACTGGCTGCCATACAAAACTTTCTGAATTTTCTCTCGGACTCGGAGAAAATTTGGGGGATTCAGAACAGCTTCCATGATCCCAGAACTTGCTGTCTAGACCCATCCCCTTTGATTGCCCAGGTGGTCTGGCTCTCAGATTGGCATGCCTGGCTCGTCCCACCCTGGGCTCCCAACCCTTGCTACCCCACTTACCTATCTTCTCTGCTTGGCTGCTCTCCGCAGTCTCCGTTGGAGGCTGGGCTGCCTTGGTGGCAGCGTCCTCTGCAGCAGGGGTGGTGGCAGCAGCATCAGTGACAACAGCAGGCACGTCGGCTTGTTTAGGCTCCTCCTTGGCTGGGCCGTCTTCGGCCTTGGAGGACTGCGAGTTATCAGTGGAAGCTTTAGTGGCACTTTCTGTCTCAGCAGAGCCGGCCTTCTCCTCTGAGGGCACAGCCTGGGGGGCCGCATCTGGGGCGCCCTCGCCCTTCTTCTCCTCAGAAGGAGCATCTCCTGCCTTGCTGGGCTCGTCAGCCTTGGGGCTGGTGGCTGGGGCTGTGTCAGTAGTAGCAGGACCATCTCCCTCCTTCTTCTCCACTCCGTCAGCAGCAGGTGCATCATCCTTCTCGTTCGCTTCCGCCTCGGCAGCTGGTGCATCACCCTTCTTCTCGCCTTTGAGCTTTTTCCTTGTTATGTGTCCACGGAAGCTAGCCTGAATTTTGGTCGCAGCCTTATGAGCCTTGTCTTCCGGTTTGACACCATCTTGTTCAATCTTTTGGTCCTCATCATTCTTTTCAACCTTTGTGAAGAAAAGAGGGACAAAAAGGAAAGCTTAAGGGGTGTTCTTTTCCTTTGAACCTCATCACTGGATCTCTGTTGAGTGACCATCCAATACTAAGCACCTTACTTGGAGTTAAGGGAAATTCAACTTAATCGTCTAAGACAGCCACTCCTCTTTTTAAGAGAACAGGTTTCCTATATAAAACTGCCTAGTCTCAAGCTTGAGATCTTTCTTCCTCAGCCTCCAAAGTGCAGGGATAATAGGCATGAGTCACTGCCCAGCTACTAATGTCCTGGACTTCAAGAGTCACTAGTGTTAGCTGGAGTGGTGGCACATGCCTTTTATCCCAGCACTTGTGAGGTGGAGGCAGGCATATCTCTGTGAGATCAAGTCCAGCCTGGTCTACGTGGGAAGTTCCAGGCCAGCTGGGACTACAGGAAGAACCTGTCTCAAAAAGATGAAAAAAGAAAGATCAAGGGCATTAGAAAAGTGTGCTAGTGCACCCCTGTAATTCCAACACTAAAGAGGTTGAGGCGGGAAGATTGCTGCGGTTTCAAGGCCAGCCTGGACTACATAGTGAGCTCCAGGGGAGCTTCAGTACTCTCTCTCTCTCTCTCTCTCTCTCTCTCTCTCTCTCTCTCTCTCCCTCAATCTCTCTCTCAATCTCTAAGAACAAACATAAAAAAAAAAAACCTCTCTGATGCTATTTTATAGGTATTTCCTTCTCAAGTCAATGCTGTGCTACTTACAACCTTAAACCAGCCTTGTTTTAGATGTACCTTGACGATTCAAATCACATTTGCTGTAAGTTTTAATGAAAAAGCTCTGAAAGATAATGGGTTCTCAGGATTTCTGAGGACTCTAAAACTTAATGACTTGGGAAATATTAGGGAACTCTCTATTCATCCCTTCCCCTAAGATTTCAAGCATGATCAGAAAATTAATATATTCAGGGAAGAGCTTGGTAGATGGTTCAACAAGTAATTCCACTAGGATTTTATGCAAAATATGAATGAATTTCCGGGCTTTGAGGAATTTGGAATGTGATGATTCAGAATGCTGGTCACCAAAGGTCTAGCTTTCTCATATGTGTAGTCCAAAGACAGTGGAATGCGTAGCGTACCTTCAAATGTTGAACACAGAAAAAAGTCACTAGCATTGAGTTATAAAGGTGAAAAATACTACTTTGAGTTTTCAAAAACTGGCTTATATTTACTAAGTCACAATTTCATATCCCTAAAGTAATTTAAACCTAAAATTAGTTTTCTATTATTATCAATAAAATTATCCTAGTCATGCGAGGGGAGTAAAAGTTTTTTACCTTTTGCTGACAATATTTACAGTGCTACAGATGCTTTCTTTCCATTTGGAAATTAAATCAGAAGACAGGAATAAGAGGCACAGTCATGGAAAGAAATATAGACAAGTTCACAAAGTTCTACATTACTCTAGTGCTCACCATGTTGCCTGGTCTGGCTACTGATGGTCTGTTCTTTCCTTTAACCTTTCCTTCACTATATATTCTTTATTTACTTATTTTTATTCTTTGCCAGTTTCACGTATGTATGTAATGAATTTTAATCACTTCCACCCCTCTTCACCCTCTTCCTTCTCCCACCAAACCCCTTCTTTCCAGTGAGTTACCTTCTTGCTTTCAAATCTTTTTATGTGTGTCCACTGAGTTTAGAGTTGCTTGCATGGGTGGGAGGTTATTTACTGGAGCATGGGCAATTTATCAGCTGCTACACCATTGAAAAAATGATACTCTCTTCCCTAGCAAACCATTAACTGTCAATGGAGGAGTGGGGTCTTCAGCCCTCCTCGGCCAAAAGAAATATCGAGGGGCCTAATATTATGCACATTTTGTGCCACAGTGAGTTCCTGAGTACAAAGGCCATGTCAAGTCTAGAAGACTGCTTTAACTTTTGAGCATTTAACTTTTGCTCACTTTTGCAAGCCCTGTTCTAAGCACTGGTAGTTACAACAATAAGCAATATTTCCTCAGAACACCATTAATAAAAGAGTGTTTATCATGTACCACATCCTATGCTTAGTCCAAATCTGGTCTTGGCTTTGACCTTGCCCTTTGCTCCAGGAAGTTTAGGAAGAAAACCCCCGGCAACCAACACACAGTATGTTTTTCCACCTGTCATATCAGCTCTATCCCAGTGACCCAGATCCTGCTAATCATCATTCAGTCCTGTGTGACATTCTTTGGACAAGCATACAGATCTGTCATAGCTTAGGACCTTCAGCATGCTAGTGGATACACAAAGGTATCTTTTAGAACAAGATGCATGTGAGGCTAAAAAGCAAGATTGACAATTTTTCTCAGTAAAATTCAAGACAGGTTTTTTTTCTTTTCCCTCAGTTAACCATGCATATAATCCTACACAGGAAGAAAGAAGGTAAAAAGCACTTTGAAGGGGCCCAGCCTCCTCCCTCCTCCCAGGGCCATGCTGTAACTGCTCTGTCTGATGCACTGTCACCTTCCTGCCATCCTGCTGCTCTTGATGGCTCCTACTGGGACACACACAGCACAATCTGGGGTATGGGAGCAGCTGTCCCTGCCAGGAGCCCTCTGCTCAGAGATGGAATCATAACCCTGTAAAATTAACAGTTGTGAATGGAGCATGGAGCAGAGCCAAGATGTTATTTATTTTACTCTATCATGGGTTTTCTGAATGAGGCTCCATCTTACATGATAGGACATCTGCACTTAAACACTGATGCCAAGTGATTATTTAATATAAATACTGTTTCTTGTGTGAGTGACTAAACCAGTTATTTCAGATTAGGCCAATGTGCAGAGAAGACTCTCTAGTGACTCAAGAAAACTACCGTTTTATAGCCTTGTCTTCCCTTGAAGAACACAAAGCATAGGGGATAAACTTCTTAAGAAGTTGGAAAACAGGAGGTGAACTAACCGAAACTAAGTATATATGTAAAGCCCTTATGGAAGCTCACTGCTTTTTAAGCTAATTAAATAATACAATTTAAAAAAATAAATAAATAAGGAGTTTGAAGCCCTGCATGGACTTCCTCTAGAACACATGCACTATTAAATAAAAATCTCAGTGCTAGACATGAGATATCTCCCCCACAACTCCAGAACCCTCTTTCCCCAAAACAACACAGTCTATTAGCATTGCTATTGGTTTTGCACCAAAACCTGAACCCAGAGGAACCAGAGATCATTCTGGGAATTCTGGGAAAACCATGACTTTGAAAAATTAAGTGATTGGCCCCATCTATAGAATGAAGGAGTAAGTGTTACAGTTTGCGTTTGAATTTGGGTTCTTTTACCAAGTGGACCCATCTCCAAGGTCCAAATTATTGCCATTACTGACCTAGAATTGCTTAGAGTTTCTTGTAGCAGATAATCTATGAAACATCAGGTTAACATTGTCACTCATTTATGCAGTACTGAGAATCTATTCCAGCACACACAGTAGAGAGGGGATACAGTATACATTCTGAACTAAAAATAATATCCCACATTTTTCTGTGACACCTCAAAACATTTAACATTTTCCAATTATATGGGGAATACTCAACCCTCCAAGCAAAGAGAACTTTACCTATCTGAAATAGGATTTATTTTTAAATACTTTAAAAATTATTAATTTGTGCTAATTCTTCTTGCTAAGTGTGATTCTTCTCTTCTGAAATAGACATGTTTTAAATGTGTGCTATTAAATATTAGAAGTAAGTGATTTTTTATTTTATAAATTGCTCACAGTTAAGGGATTGCTTTGGATCTCAAATGAGTCTTGCACTTTGAATTTTTTTTAAAGGTATTGGAATTGTTAAAGATTATGAGGATTTTTAAAGTTTGACTGAAAGTATTTTACATTAGAAGATGGTTATTAGTCTAGAAGACAAAAGTGGAAGGTTATGGCTTAAATATGATGTGTTTGGATGTCAAGTTGACAAAGGTAGAATTGTGATTGTTTAAAGTTCATTGTCAACCTGACAAGATCTGGAATCACCTAGGAGACCAGCCTCCAAGTACACCTGCAAGGAGTTATGTGGATTAGGATAACTGAAATGGGAAGATCCATCCTAAAGGTGAGTGGGGCTATTCCCCCAGAAAGAAAGAAGTGAGCTGAGCACATGTATTCATCTCTCTCTGCTTCCTCACTGTGGAAATGATGTGATCAGCTGCTTCAAGCTCCTGAGGCTTGACTTTCCTGACATGATAGACTGTACCCTTGAACTGTATGCTGAAATAAATTCTCTCTCCCTTAAGTTCCTTTTGTCAGGGTATTTTATCATAGCAACGGGGAAAGGAGATGAGACATTAAGATATCTTTAGTAAACTAAAATATGATCAATTCATTGGGCAAAAGTTTTGTGTTTGTATGTGTGTGTGTGTGTGTGTGTGTGTGTGTGTGTGTGTTTGAGTATACTGCCTGCATGAGTGTAAGTGCATCCATGTCAATGCAGTGCCTGTGGAGGTCAGAAGAGGGAGTCAGATTCCCCTGGAACTGAAGTTAGGATGGTTGTTGTGCATCTTGTGAGTGTTGAGAATCAAACCTTGGTCCTCTACAAGAGTAGTCGGTGCTCTTAACCAAATGAACCATCTTCGCAGCCTCCCCACAAAAGCTATTTTTAGGAAACATAATCAAAGGACCAGGGATATCCTGAGTAATGTTTATTTTCTCTAACACACTATAGTTTTCATGCTTATCAAAAATCTAGTGTGGCCTATAAAATACCAGGAAGTTTACAGAATCTGGAAAGTGCCCAGTTATTATTCATTTTATTTTTATTACTAATTTACTATGATAAAAATCAACAAAATTGTATTCTACTTGTGAACATAATTGATACTTTGTCAGTACACTTTAGAAAACTATGTTATCAAACCATTTACAGTTGTACTTCTATAATTTCTTTAAATGTAATTAAAGATCAGAAATACATTGAAATGACCCTTCTAAATAAGAGAAAGGAGGATGGGTGAGCCTCCTCCAATTCTTCAGGTGACACGTCCTTGCATCTGGACAGATGAA